AAGAGATAACAGTAAAGCACCTAAATTGAAATACGTTCGTATGCTAGTCTAAATAAAAAGAACCCAGGATTTGATGGTTAATTCCTCCGTAAACAGGACTCATCTTCAACAATAAGTGGTATTGAACATTGATTGATTGATCAGTTTTTGGATCATGATCGGATTGAGATAAATATGCTCGAATTTAATTTGACTTAACAATTTTGAATTTTAAAACTTACATGCTATTGGACTGATTCAAGCAGGCTAAGGTAGTCTGATCTGTTTTGTCACTTCCAATTGATAGCAATATAAATATGTTTTGCACTTTAATTATATTTGAATTAAATTCTATTTTGAATGTTGTGTGATGTGTTTGGAGCAGGATAAAGTGTAGGAAGGAAGGAGGGATTCGATTTACGGTTACTGGTTCTGGAATCTTCATTTCAGTGCTGATTAGCAATGTTGCTGGCCACGGAGACATAGTGGCGGTGAAGGTTAAAGGTTCAAGAACTGGTTGGCTTCCAATGGGTCGCAATTGGGGGCAAAATTGGCATGTAAATGCGTTGCTGCAAAATCAACCTCTTTCGTTCGAGGTTACTGCTAGTGATGGCAAAACGGTTACGTCTTACAATGTTGCTCCCAAGGATTGGACCTTTGGACAAACCTTTGAAGGCAAGCAATTTGAGACTTGAAAGCTTAATGAATTGAAGTGGTCTTATTTCAAGGGACCGTTCTCCTTCCCAAAAAGAATTTCAGCCCAATACTGATAAAAGGTCTACTTGCCGGTGGTTTTCTTTCTACTTTTTGATTCTTTTGGTTTTGTAGAAGACTGTGTAGATAGCAAATGATTTGGTGGTTTGCAGGGTTGTCAATGTAACGATGTACCTTTCCATTTATTATATTAGAAAATTTTGGATAAAAAAATATATATACCTTGTTGGTCAACCAGCAACAAAGAAAACTTGCAATGTAAATGTTTTAAGGCTCTCATAAGACGTATCATCCTACTGATTTCACTTGCAAGTTGTCTTCAATATTACTAGTCATTCAACCCCCGTTAATGATTATTAGATAATCCATCACAATAGATTGATTTACTGTAGCAGTACTCATAATGCTAATTTTTGGTGAAATATTTTGTTCAAGTTTTGATTTTTTTTTTGTATTTGTTTTTTCCACGTTCTCAATGCTTCTGGTTTTCACTACCAGTTAGCCGCTAGTGTGTCACTTTTTTACCCCTATTAGCCTCACTACAGAAGAATGCAAGAACTGGGGTCGTCAAACTCAACAGATGCTCAAGTTTTCCTTTCCCTCAACAAAAAACGAGTGGACTGTTTTGTGCTCTATTGATAGGCCTAGGTCATCTAGAAGTCCTATTCATATTGACTAGCTTTAAAATGCATAATTAAAACTTCTGTTGCAAGATAGGTTAAGTTAATAAACAAATGAACGATCATTAGAGTTTTAACAAGTAATATCGTCCATTAATAAGTATACACTCAGGCAGCAAAAGGTGTAAAGCACTTCGAACTAATGACATCGTACTATTAGAATAATGGTTGATTAGTGATTACCATCAACCTAGAGCCAAATGAGACATGTATCTGTTAAGACCTGAGGTGATCTACTTATGTCAACAAAATTTTATTCCTCAAAAAGAAAAACAATAAACGGCCACCTATTGGTTGTTGTATTGATCCATGAAAGAAAGCAAACAAATGGTTTGTCTCAACAATTCTGCTCCACAATAACATCTCACACGCAAAAATGAGCAGAAAGAGAAAGTAACAAACGGAATATTATTATTATCCATCAACATGCCATTGCTACAATCTTGTTGGCCCAAAGGAAATCAGAAATGAATCCCAGTTAAATTGTGGTTAAAAGCACGTGTGAACTGTTTGTACAGAAATTTGAGTTTCCAATTTTTGTGAATAATACATGAGCTGTTAGCATACAATGGAACAGGAAAAAGAAAGAGAAACAAAAAAGAATTTCAAATGTGGTTTACTATAACAATAATCACTCTAAAACTAATTGAATCTAATGCCTCGGAAAAATCCAGGCAAAAATTTGCAAGCTATGATGGAAGAACTCAACTATTAATCAAAATCGTTGGAGTGTCCTACCGTGTATATCCCCCACACATGGAGCTTAAGCGGAGCAGATCTAAGAGGGAACGAAACATACCAATGCTACAAACTTCATAGCTTCTGATGAGATTCAATAAGCAATGCATTCAACATAACATGAACCCCAGCCTCATAAACAACCCCATCATAATGCATCCCATCATCTGTACACCTGATCCCACAATTCCAACTCAATGACCCAATATCCAGCAGTTGAAATGGCCCCCCAAACTGCCTCAACATGCCACTTCCCTGAACCTCCCTCTCATACTCTCCCCACACTATATCAGTCATCCTCTCCCTCTTTGCCGCCGTATTCAACATGGAGTTTACCAAACTCGGCATCCCAAGCCAAAACAAGTGCGGCGATGACCTAACCGCCACCGAAGCCACCGCCACAGCCACAGCCTCATCATTGCCAAATTCTGAAGACACAGGCAACAGTGACATCACAGAACTCCTCAAAACCCCCAAATCCACACCATAATCCGAAGCATTGGTGAAATGCAGCATGTGCCACAAACCAGAACCCATCACCAAAAGATCAGGATAAACACGATTCCTCTTGAACCCCACAACCAAATTTGTCAAATTGTTAACATAAGGTGCCCAAATGAAATCCAACTTCATCCCAATCTCATCCACCACAGTGTGGTAATCACTGTGCCGTTTAAACAAAGACCCTCTAACAGATTCCATCCCCTCCGAGTCCAGAACCAAACCCAGCAACGACAGCACAAAGATTCGAGCTTGCGAATCCCCCGCTACCACAACCCAAGACCCATTAAGCAAAACCGAAACGTCGTGTCGTTTCAGCTTCTGAAACTCACACGATTCAACAGAACCCGACTCCTTCCAAGACCAAAACTTGTCGTAATTCACAGAGTTGTTATTATTATTACTATCACTAAAGTCAAACACCCTTCCGGGCCTCACCTCCCAGACAATTTCGTGAAGCAACGAAACACACGAATCGCGATCGTCCACGACAACGTCAACAGAAGAAGAAGAAACCGACGTGACGAAATCAGAAACCGAGGGGAAATAGGGTGTGAGGTGAACACCAACAGCGAGAGTGATGAAAAGCGCGCCACTGAAGAAGAGAACCTTGTTGCGACTCAGGTGCCACCCCGCCATGCCCATAGGCACAAACAGAACCACACACGCCGCCAAAAGCCCCAACTGCACCGCACCCAACATTGCCCACTTCTTCTTCCCAGATCCCTCCGAAACTCACATGTGGGGTTTCGGTTCTCGACGCGACCCGTGAAGGGAAACGAAAGAGGGTACCCGAGATCTGAGGAAAAATTGAAACTTTTCTCCGACCTGGGAAAAGGGTCAGAGTGAAAGTTGGTGGGTGGCTTGGGATTGAAGAATTTGAAGGAGGTTTTTTTTTTTTTTTTTGTGTGTGATGGGAACGTGGTAACAAGAGGAGCGAGATTCAGGTCGAAAGGAGTGAAATGGGAACAAGGGTGCGGGAATTGGAATTGCTTACAGAGAAGAACACCAAGGATTCAGAAACCGGTGGCAATGATTGCGAGTGTTGTGTGTCATTTTGCTTGCATCCGGAAATTTTGTCCACGAGTGTTAACTTGCCTTGTGGATGTTTTTGCGGTGTGTGGGTTTGTTTTTGTGTTACGAAGGTCTTGAATTGAAGGTACCTTGCCACTTGCCACCGCCACTACATAATAAGGATAAAAACCATTTTTCAATCATTTAAGTTTTGTATTAACTATATATTTTTTCATGTTAACGTTTTTTACTATATCATGTCGGGATGTTAAACAATATAATTAAAATTTTAAATTCTTTTTTTCCTGATATTTCTAGAGTATTTGGTTATAATCTTCAATTTTAAAAAATAATTCCGTACTTTTTTATATTTGAGTTCTTAACTTATATATATATATATATATATATATATATATATATATACTAAA